GGGGGGCAGGGGGGCGGTCAGGCGCGAACGATTGGTAATGAGGGGCTGGAGGTCCGCTATGGCGCGCTACCGCCGGCCAGGCTCAGGCTGCGCCGTACTGAACAGCGCGTGCAAAAGCTGAAGTCGGTGCGCTTTATCGAACGATTAGGAGCAACTGAACCTCCTCCCTCTCGCACTCTGTCGCAGCCCTCTCTCTCTCTCGTACGCACTGAATACAGTGTCGCGCTCGCAAGGGACGCCGCGCGGTGAGTCAGTGGGTTATGCAAGGCCGCGGCGGCCGGCAGTGCACACTATCTCGGCCAAAGGGGACAACGCTTTCTTTCGTGTCAATAATCACGACAACGACAGTTATCGACAATTGTGAAAAAATACAAATAAAGCTGAGAAAAACGTACCATTGATTTCACACCAAAAGGTGTTTGCGTTGTTTCGAAGAAAATTTTTACTTTGATGGAAAGACAAATTCGGCAATTTTAGGGAATTTCTTCAACTAATGAAATTTACATTTCCTGTGGAATAACGGAAAGTACTTTTTGACATTTGAAACTTACAGTCCGGGTGCCTCATCGCGTAGAATCTCGGATGCGGTATTGGTCTATTCTTAAGGTTCGCAAGTGTAAAACGTCATATGCTTAACATTTTTGGCAAATCCACTGTCATCGAGAATGCGATGATGACTACAAAAATTTAGCAATAACTTTTCATCGCATCCAGGATGCGATAACTTTTCATCGCAAAATTAATTGCGATAACTTTTTATCGCAGAAATTAAGGCAGTAACAAATTTATTTCAGTAGTGTGCGTCTCCCGATTTTACCAAACTTCCTCCAATTTTCTCTGATTACCTGCGATTTTCTCCGATTTTATTAAGACACGGTAAGAATCGCTAAAAATCGCTCAATATCCGTAAAAATCAGTCAAAACCCGTAATAATCGGTTAAAATCCGTTAAAATCGGTCGAAATCAGTACAAATCGGTCAAAATCGTCAAAATCCGTACAAAATCGGTCAAAATCGGTCAAAGCCCGTTAATATCGGCCAAAACCCGTCAAAATCGGTGTAATCCGTCAAAATCGGTCAAAATCGGTCAAAATCCGTCAAAATCGGTCAAAATCGTTCAAAATCGTTCAAAATCGGTCAAAGCCCGTTAAAATCGGCCAAAACCCGTCAAAATCGGTGTAATCCGTCAAAATCCGTCAAAATCGGTCAAAAGCCGTCAAAATCGGTCAAAATCGGTCAAAATCGGTAAAATCCGTAGAAATCAGTAAAATTCCGTGAAAATCGGCAAAACCCCGTAAGAATCCGTCAAAATCGGTCAGAACTGGTCAAAATCGGTCAAAACCCTTAAGAATCCGTAAAAATAGGTAAACGTCAGTAAAATTCCGTATAAATCTGTAAAAATGCGTAAAATTCGGCAAAA